CTAGTGAGAGGTGTCCCTGCCCATGGCAGGGGGGTTGGAACTAGATGATCTCTAAGGTCCCTTCCAACCCAAACTATTTATGATTTATGACTGTCTCCCATGGGAGGGACCCCACACTGGAGCAGGGGAAGAGTGTGAAGAGTCCTTCCCCTGAGGAGGAAGGAGCAGCAGAGACAACATGTGATGGACTGAGCGCAACCCCCACTGCCGGTCCCCCTGTGCCATGCAGGGGTGGAAGAGGTAGAGAATTCAGGAGTGAAGCTGAGCCCAGGAAGAAGGGAAGGGGTGGGGGGAAGGTGTCTTAAGATTTGGTTTTACTTCTCATTATGCTACTCCAATTTTATTGGTAATAAATCGAATTAATTTCCCCAAGCTGAGTCTGTTTTGCCCATGATGGTAACTGCTGGGTGATCTCCCTGTCCTTATCTTGACCCAGGAGCCTTTAATTATATTTTTTCTCCCCTGTCCAGGTGATGAGGGAGAGTGACAGAGTGGCTTGGTGGGGACTTGGTGTCCAGCCAAGGTCAACCCACCACAGGTAGATAATATACAACTACCACAGAAATAAATCAACTGCAAAAAAGATACACCTAAATAGCTTGCTTACTGCATTCCTTAAGTGAACCAAAGTTATTTTTGTATTCATAGTTTTACTGATAGTTACTGTGATTAACAGAACTAAGAGTTGTTCTTAGTCAGGAAAGAAAAAAAAATATGGTAGTATTTATTTCCTGTTATTATTCTTCTCTCTCTCAAAATATAGTTTTTTAAAAGTCAACTATTCTCCATAATTGTAGTAGAAAGCATCACTGTTTAAAGACGTTAACTCCCTAGTCATAGCATGTGAAAGTTGCAGAAGCTCTCCGTGACTCAGCTACCTGGAAATAATCCTCACCCAGGTAAGGCAAACTGTCATGATTTCTAGAAGTGGCAAGGCAGAACTCCTGTTCTTTTAATCCAGATTGAAAGGTCCCCAGACCTTTAATCTCCAGGCTGACCTTTAATAAAGCTGCAGTTAAAGCAGACATTGTCACAGCCTCTCATCCCTTCCAACCACCCATTGCTAAGACAGAAAATTCAATTCCACAGCATGGTGAATGGAATTTTTCTGAGGTTTCTCATGCTCGTACCACCCCCAGCATTCCTCCTACCCTTCCACAGAGAGGCACACATTGCAGTTTAGTAAATGGTACATCTCTATACTATAAACATTTTCCTTATGTATTTTACTAACAGATAGAAACTTGATACTTACGAATATAAAGTCAGTTTATCCAAATGATTGTGCATATTGAAGGCATACTGTTCTCCCAAATCAAAAAGCTTTTCCAATGCCTCATAAATAAATATGATGCATATAAGCGCTGCAAAAGCTTCCTCAGTAAATCGAGTGATATAACACACAAGGCTGCTGGCATCTGTGGCTACAAGTACTATGCATAGAAACGCAGTCCACAGACCAATGCTAGTTCGCAGGGAGAGGTAGGAAAGACTGTAATCCCTGTGTGGAGAAAGAAACGAAAGTACCAACTGAGCCAAAAATCACCTATACTACAGTCCATTTGAAAACAGATACCGAGGCCAAGCTCTATAGGTATTCACCACTTTTCTTATCCTTGATGTTGGTTCTGAAGAAGCAGAAACTTTTCTGTCTCATCTTCCACCAAAGCAAAGCAACACTGGAAAGTGTTTCTAGGACTGAGGGTGCAATGACCTAGCTTGGGAAGCAGCACAGGGATGATATTTCCAGAACTACCTAGATGCTTTCTCCTAGCAGGCAGCTCAATCCCCGTTTACCCCGGCAGATAAAAAGCCAACATCTCCACACAGTTAGAACATAATTTCTGTTTAAGTCCTAGCCCCTTCCTATCACTAATTTTCTCATTAAGGCTCACCAGTGCCTCACAGCTTTGCCAATCCACATCCACCTTAGTCTCTTGCTGCTGCGTTTACATCTCCATGGCCATCCACTTTTAATGCACATCTGCTTTCAATTACAGCTATTCTAACAGGCTAGGAAGCTAGAAAGTGCATAATACAAGCATCACTTACCTGCAAAATTTAAATAATATTTTTTCAAATACTAGAACTGGTCCGGTGCTCCCCAAAATAGTAAGAGGTTGCCCAGCAAAGAGAGAATAGGCAATCCCAGTTAATGAGGCTCCAAAGAGAGACTCTATTGCACTCTGTTTGGGGGAAAAGAAACTGCTGTAACTATGCTGCCTGTCAGGTTAGTGTTTAGCATCACATCTGCATAAATACAGTTTTAAGATGCACTAACTTAGAAACAAGACAAGATATAAAAACATTGCAATTAATATTGATGTTTGAGACAAAAATAACACAGTTTTGCAGTAACAATACCATGGACAAAAGATTTCGAAAACTTCACTCCTAAGAAACATAAAGCCTTCCATAACCATGAAAACAATTTACTAGTGCTGCTAGCTATGGAGGAAAAACCAACAATTACTACAAATCTTAAAAAAATGAAGCCAAAACAAAAAAAACAAACCAAAACAAAGCCACATTACTCAACATGTATTTTACGGAGAGAATTATCTGTCTCTGTAAAGAAAATAAGAGATATATATACATATTGCAACATACCTGTACCGAAACATGATACGGTGTGCCGTATCAAACCTGCATCAGTCAACCAAGCATGACAAAAGAAAAAACTGACAGGCAGAGGTGCAGGATAAATTACTGAACAATACTGGTTTATGTATACATGACACCAAAAATAGATGAGCAGTAAACCAATGTCCCACCTGGTAATGCATTTCTTTTCACTGAAGTAAGATATCTACTTCAGTTTTTGAATTAAATGTTTTACTGTAACATTTTCTGCTAAAAAGAAGTTACAATGCACCTCAGAAGAGAGGGGCAGGACTTTTTAGATCCTAAAACAATATTAAAGTTACTTGAAAATAGTTAACTACACCATTTACAACTATGAGAAGTCATAGAGTACAGATTAAAGGTTCCTGGTGGAATTTTTAAGTGTTTGCTATTTTGCAATTATGCAAGCATAAGGAAACAATATATATGCAAACTTAAGCTCCAATTCAGGAAAGCATCTGAAATTGGGGAAAATGGTTTGCTGAACTGGGGCTACTAAAAATGAAGACATGAGTACTTCGTTGGTTACATTAGAAAAACAAATATATAATCCCAGTCTCTCATTCTATTACCTTTGAATTAGGGCTTTTGGTTAGTCAATGCATTAACCTTGGGGCTTTCAATCAGGGTGGCAGGGACAGGAGTACTGTGGAGGTGATGACCTCTGGGAATGTGAGGGAAGGTTTCAAACACAAACTGTGTACCTTACAATGTCAGCTACTGTGCTTGAACATTTGTGTGCAGTAACTAAATTTTATATTCAATGATGCACACCAAGTATCTGAAGGCACGAACAAACCCGCAAAGAATTCCAGATTGCTAAAAGAAAGAACGTGTTTAAGAATCAAGCTTTAAAAGGAGCATCTTTTCATAATTATACATTACATATATTCAAAAATTACATCAACATTTTTATAACCATTCCTACATTTAGAGTGGAAAAACAACGCACAGAAAAGACATACTTTATTTCTGTTTTTGCTATCAACTTGAAGTGCTGCATCAATAAACAAAAATCTAAGTCAACAGCATTACTTGAAAGAGATAAAGCAGTTAACTGAATTTTAATACAGTACAAGCTTAAATACTTGATCTAAGTATCAAGAAGAATTTTATAGCACCAAAAGATTTACCAGAATCTTAAAATTTGCAAAGGACACATCTGAATACATCTTTCCCTCTCCCAAAAGGACAAAGCCTTGTTTCTTCGTGACAGATTTAAAAACAGAAAATACACTTCAAACTAGTTTACTCATAAGCCAATTGACACAAACACTAAGTTACTACTACTGCTGATGTTAAGTATTCTTTCCTTGCTCCAAAAACCAAAGTGTAATGATATTTTGATTAAAAAGGTGCTGGTGTTATCTACTGCCCAACATAACACTAACAAAATTTTCTATGTGTATGGTTTATATTCAAGTCATTTACAATGAAGAGTATTTTCTGCTCATAAACCTTAGCCACTTTCTTTTATTGTTAAAAAACATACCATTAGTGAAGCATATACATAACCGGCATTACTTAAATATACAATTGACTGCTACCCACACACTGCAGGCATTATCATCCTCGTAGGCCTACTACTCAAGGCCAGTACATGTTCTTGGCTATCCACCTTGAGCTTCTGACTGCCTAAAGTAGGCCTAGTGGGATGGTGCACCTATACTGCTATTCATTATTTTTAAGTAGCCAAAAAGAAGGCAATGCAAGCCCTTTCTCAATTCATGAAGCATTTCATCCAGTAAGGCAGGATAAACATTTTTTACCTCCACTGTGCATCTTCTCCTGTTCACATGGGTTCCCCACATTTTCCACAGCAATTACCTTTTGGGGAAGATCTGCTTTGGGGCAGGCTAATCAAGTGCTGTGGGTAAATTCTTCAAATACAAGTATAAATAAATGAGACAAATGCACACAGTGACTTGCCTCTGAAGGTCTAAAAGCCTGGCCACTACCATTCTTTGTACTCACTATTCTGCCTTGTGTAGCTTCTCCCAGGAGCCCTCCAAAAGTGATTACAGGAGACATACAGGCACAGTATAGGAAAAGAATCGAGGCCAGGCACTGCAGGCTTAATGCATCCTTGAAGTCACTCAAGAAAAAAGGTGCTTTCCTTTGGATGTCAAGTATCAAACCACCAAAAAGCCTAAATAGGTGAGATGAAACTCGTCAAACTGTACACTAAAGGATTCTAGCTAGTTCAAAAACTATGGGCTACACATGACTGCCAGTGCCTATTGCCAGCACAAATTAGCTATTTCATAATCCAGATTAAAGCATAACAGTTTAAAATGTAAATGAGAATCTTATCTATTCTGATTCAGTAGTATTCCAAATACAATCAGGTTATCCACATTTTTAAAAGCTGGCTAGGTATTTTTGTATATGGGCTAGATACTGAAAAAAATATATTTGCAAACAATTTTACCTAAATAATGTTTTAAGTCAAATCTGTCTTCTGATATTCAAAACAAAGAACAGAAGTAATATGCTAAATGTCAACCAAGACCACTGCATCGATACATTTCAATAGTACTACTCCAATCAGCTTTTTGATTACAATTCTCTACACGCATATGGTTAGGTCCATAAATAAATTTAGGTCTATAATTTCTAATAGTGTTTTCATCTGGAGTATATTCTACAAATGGATACGTAAAACCAAACTTATATAAGTCAGTTAACTGGGTAAATTATTAGTAAGAAATAAAAAGCTTTTGGCAGTTTACAAAAAATTTTCAAGACTCCAAAATATTAGGTGTAATTTGCACCTATGAAAAATTATTTTATTTTCAATATAAAAAAAAAATATTCCATTCCCAAGAAAAACAAGTCTCATCTAGAGATAATTCTGTGGGCAAAGATGAACTTCTCAGTTCCACATACCGTCTGCAAAAAGGCAAAAAGTAAGTACAACAAAGCCAAAAGGGTAAAAATGAACACAAATGTTGTAAAGTCTTTCTTGCAAGGGTATGAGAAGGATGCACTTCATTTGAAAGTTTATAATTTTGGGGATGACAACCCTGAAAACATTTTCCAGAATTTTTCAGTTGATTTAATCTCTGCTCTCTCATATGAGATATTAAGGTTTAATCTTAGCCAGGTATTTCCAATGTTTGGGACTATTCTGGCAAGTATTTCAGAATTAACAGAGAACAACAATGCAACTCAACTGAAATAAATTCTTTCAATTTTATTTTAAAACTAAAAGAAGCCTAACCAAAACTAAAACCTAACCAATACCAAATTATTTTTTGACACTTTATATTCCTTGTTGCTCCATTTCGTACATGTTTAATAAAACAGGTTTGCATTAACGGAAATTTTTAGTACCTAGCCCAATACTGAAAATTACATTTTCCTGCTATAATTATGATAGACAATTAAAATTAAACTATTAAAAGTCACTTAGTTAAATTAGGCAGCATCTTATATTAAATCCTTCGCAAATGTGTTGAGAAACATTGCCACACACTTGAAAGTGCTTTAAGCAGAATGGCATTTATAGGCAAGAATCCAACACTTGAAAAGGAAAAAGGATGCACTCTGACACTTACACCATGATTTTTAATGTTCAAATGTCATAATTAAAAACTGTGAAGATTTTATCACTTTTATTTCTTTATGGTAGCTACTATTTAGGGAAGTGAACACACCTTCCAGTTCTCTCGAGTTCAGGTCCAGCATGATGGCCTTCTTCTTTGAGAGTCTCTCCTGTAGGGGTAGATCCATTTGGAAATTTAGGTACCTTCCTTTTCTCCTACAGAAAAAAATAAAGAAAAAAAATATAATCATACTTTGAGATTGCCTCTACCCTAAAAAGTATAATTGACAGCATGCAGACACTCTGCCTTCCAAACCTTTTTCATATTCCCAGCTTATCAGCAGTCCTCCATTTGCCAAATTCATCTTTTGTTGAGTACAGACAACTAGAACTGTACAACAATCTCAAAAATATTTTATTAGTGCCTTGTACAACAGTATTAGTCTTCCCTCTTTCTGCACTTCCCTCAGACATGATGAAACAAAGCCTACCTTTTCAAGACACAGTAGAGGCTCAACCATGAATCTCACTCATTTTCAGAGCAGGAGCCTCTCGCTTCTAACAGAAACTGACCTCGATTTATGACTCACACAGTATTTAGTCAAAGTATGAATGAGAAGTCATTCCTCTATGAAATGAGTTAAGTGGTGTAGCCTCAGGCTATTCATCTCTCTAAAAGGAGAACTGGCTTCAACAGATG